CTCCTCAGCCATCTCCCTCAGCACGACCGACCATAATGAAAGATATTAACTACAATTTTATATCGAATTACTGCTGAAACACATTTCAAATTACTTGGGCGTGTACCCGCGGAATTGAGAGAGGCAAACGGAGAATCAAGATTTTCTTTGTTACGATTGGTGGTTGAGTTAGTTGAGCGTCAACGGATTGGTTGAGCTTGGTGAACGGTGGGGGATATTGTGGGGCGTTACCCGAGCGGGATATGGCCGCCCAGGGGAGCACACCGCGGCAAAGCACCGACTGACTGTGTTGGAGGGACTTGACAGAGGTTCAGTCGAGCTAGCTCAATGCACACGTTCGCACGCTCGACGCGCGTCAAGTTTATTTTCCGTCTGGAGTGCGGCGTATTGTGATGCACGGTTTTACTTAATTTGGTTTTTTTTTATTATTTATTAAACGTGATTGAATTGGCGCACTGGATGCACATGTGAACTCTGGAGTTCAATGGGAGTGGAAGTACTTGGCGAATTCAGTGACTCTGAGGGGGAGATGGTAAAGGACGAGATTGTTTAGTGAATCAAATGTGCCCAAGGATAACAAACTATAACTGAGAATTAATAACGTGTGCGAAAACGTAAATCTCTGAAAGAATATAAGGGGAGAAAAAAGGAAAGCGGAAATGGTCAGCGGGCGCGCTTCTGTGCGCGGCAATTATGTTAAGTGGCCAATTAGCAATTAAGTAAAGGAACCGAGTGGAGCGCGAAGGGACCCCTTTAATTGTGGCCAAGCGCCACAGTTCAAGACAGTTGAAAAGTATTTCGAGGAAGCGAATAAGTGGCGATAGAAACTGATTTATTCGAGAATCAATGACAATTGACGTTTGCCCGCATGCGGAGAAACCGGTGAATGTTTTGTAGTGGAGTGACACCGTCGGCAAAATTCTGTCGCGGAGTGATAGAGGTAGCAGGTTGTCACCGGTGCTCGCCATGACGGTCCATCATCAGAGTCACCACGTTGCCGCGTTGAGTGGCATTACAGTGCAGGCGGGCAATGCCGGCGGCGGACTGAATCTCAGCCGCATGACGGGGCTCGAGGTGCGCCACCGGGCCGCCGAGAGAATTGAGAGTATCGATAGATTAACAAGTTCGAATAATAACAGTGGCAACGGTAGTAACGGAAATATCGACAGGTCTGACGTATCGACGACAATGCCTCACAGATCGAGATTTATGATAACGGATATTCTCGCCGACGCGTCGAGTCCAGCGAGTTTACTGAGCCAGGAGCCACCGGGCAGTCCCTCCTCGGCTCCACGTGATCTCAGTGTCAAGCCCTCGAGGCCGCAGGGCCACAAGAGGCAGAGGGATGAGGATAGCGATGCTAGCCACCAAGACGGAGCTTCCGTTTCCTCGAACGGTAACTTTTTTTTTTCTCCGTACTTTCAGGAGCGATGCGGCGAACCGAGTTGAGTCATGTTTTTGGAAAATCTGTTTTTCAGTGGAATCGAATCTTGGGGTGTGATGCGTCTACCGCAGCGAAGTGGTAGAACGGTTCAAGTCAATTGTCGGTATTGGCCAGTTTTCAATGAATATCTCGGAATCTAAGGTAGATAGAAAATTTTTTGTCTGAACCTTTTTTGCAGCTCTCAATTCGCTCTACAAAAAAAGTAATTATGAAAATTTCGCTGTCTCCCTTAGATTCGGAAATATTCCCCAAAAACTCAACTGGGAGGTGAGTCGACTTGAACCGTTTTGCCACTTCGGAACGAAATAAAACGGGTTGAGTCGCAATTTTTGGAAAAATCCATTTCAGAGGAGCTAAGCCGACATGACCCGAAAAAAATGATTTAAAAATGAGTCAAGTCGACTTAGCTCGTTTTGTATGGATTTAATGAGTATTCTTAATATTCTTCTTAAATTGGAGTAGTTGAATTAAAGAATTGGATTTCTAGCTTTCCCACTTTACCGACTATAGAATTTTATTATGACTTTAGAATAAAGGAAAATTAATTAAATCCATCCACCTGATAATTTGTCAATCGATTTTTTTTTATTGAGTGGCGGTTCAAGTCGACATAACTCGGTTGGAGGGGAAAATCAAGAGAGCTGAGTCGATAAAAATGGTTAAAAAATAGTCTGCAGAAGTTGCAACTTATCATGCTAAAATCTCGATCGATATTGAGCGGAATCCGTGCCCGAATCTGATTAAATTCCCAAAAGGACAGTCAAAATTCACATTTTTCGACTCAACCCGGTTTGCCGCTTCGCCACTGATTTTTCATTGATTAAGACCTAGAGTGTAATCTTGAATATCCGTATTCAGCTTGAAGGGTAAAAACAAATGGGCTAAATATGCTAGGGACTTCCTGGAGGTGGTCCTCGCGAGGTCGTAGGCATTAGGCCATTTAATGATTACAAAATTTTTCGAGCCTACGGTGTGCCACACGCTCTAATTATCTACCTTCCCACTGGTTTCATTCATACCTGGAGAGGACGTCGGTTAGTCTTTCATCCGATAATCCCACAAATGTTTGTCTTTGACTCTGGCCCCTCTATCCCACACGTGTATCGTAACATCCGAAATTTCATTCGGCACTGGTGGATAATGACAGGGAGGCTAAACCGTTTCCATAAATTTCTCGTTTCCTCGCTTTCTGGAAATCAAAGAAATCCACCTTTAAACACGTGTTATTAAGTCACTGATGATATTTTTCCTCAATATGAAAGATGAATTTAAAAAAAAAGGCCACAAATTACGGGAGACAAAAAAGTCATTTGTTTGCGATAACAATTTTACAAAGACAGAAACGCAGATTAAAATTATATCAGTCGTAATTATACACCGGCTAATGACAGACCTGAATAACAAGGGAACACACACACACCCGAGTCTTTTTAACGATACGAAAAATTACGTTTCCTTTATCTAATAACACGCCTCAACGAGTTTCTCGCGTTATCAAACGACAGTTAAACCGTGCATAATAATTCCAACTCATCTGGAACAGAGGCATTAATAAGATGTAATTAAGGATGTTTAGCCAGTGTCGGTAAATTGTCGGTAAATGTGTTTTTTTTTTTCATGCCCCAGGAAAATTCTTTTTTTTTCGGCTGACAGCAGAACATATAAAAGAAACTTTTTTAACGTTGAAAAAAATTAATCGCAATAGTCTCGGCAGAAATGAATAAACAAATTTTTCCTTGTACACGGGCTCTTATGAAATTTATGTTCAAATTGATAATTCACCTACTAGAAGACTAAAAATAGAAATAAAAATGGAAGGTAATGTGTAAAATCATACTGAATCCAATGGCCAGAGAAAAATCTGGGGTATTCGGGCAAAACGAGGAAATATTTGAATGATTCTATCCCACACAGGCGCACGTTAGCGCATGTATTTGCTGCATTTTGTCTATTTAATTTCTAAATAATGAACATGGCTTGGTGGATTGAAATTTGTATCAAAGTGAAGGGAATACCTTCCTCTCTCAGTTTTAAAAAATCAATTTTTTTAAGTACTTGCGATTTTGGATAAAAATCCTTAATCGCAATAGTTTCGCCAGAAATAAATGAACAAATTTTTCCTTATACACGGGATCTTATGAAATTTATGTTCAAATTCAGTAGCGAAGCGGTAAACCGGGTTAAGTCGATTTTGACTATTAGCCAGTTTTTGCTGAATATCTCGGAATCTAAGAGAGATAGCAAAGGTTTTCTCATAACCTTTTTTGTAGAGCCAATTAAGGACTATGAAAAGTTCCTGACAAAAATTTTTCTATCTCTTTTAGATTCCGAGATATTCGTCAAAAACTAGCCAATAGTAAAAAACGATTTAACCCGGTTTACCGCTTCGCTACTGAATTGATAATTCACCTACTAGAAGACTCTAAATATAGAAATAAAAATGGAAGGTAATGTGTAAAATCATACTGAATCCAATGGCCAGAGAAAAATCTGGGGTAGCCGGGAAAGAAGAGGAAATATTTGAATGATTCTATCCCACACAAGCGCACGTTAGCGCATGCATTTGCTGCATTTTGTCTATTTAATTTCTAAATAATGAACATGGCTTGGTGGATTGAAATTTGTATCAAAGTGAAGGGAATGCCTTCCTCTCTGTTTAAAAAAAATCAATTTTTAAAAAAAGCAATCGATAAAGTGCTTGACAAGGAATTTTCATAACTAAAAAAAAATTCTGATAAAGACGAATCAACTGAATATATCTCTGATGAAAGCAAAACAGTTGCTGATGACCAAACAACAACAAAAAATGTAATGAATGAGAGAGAAAGACTGGAGAATCGAAGAGCCCTAAAAAGTCAAAATCGTTTCGACTTTACGAGCGAGGGATCCTAGTGTGAGAGAAGTGGCAGGGAGAGGGATACAGTCTTCGGCAGGGGCCAGGCGCGCGTGTACGAATCAAGTTAATCCGCTTAGAGTGGTGCCTCACCCGTTATAAAACGTCACTCTCGTCTCACCTATGCCTCTCACCCATCTACACACACGAAACGCCAGTTTCACGGCTTGTCAGTAGGAGAGTCCACCAGAATCCACGTCAAATTCTCATGTCCCACATAATACCTGGGCCTGGAGACTAATCCGAGAACCGGAAATGATTGGCAAGCGTTTAGCCCATTGAATTGTATCATGACTTCAACGGCTGCTTCGAGACATTTGTGTGCTCGGCCCATTGGGTGTGACATCGTTTTCACCTGTGGGGATTATTCAGCCAAATATATTTAAAAACCTTAACATTATATCAACGAGGAACTATTTGGTGAATTTCAACAACTAGTTGGTGGAATTTAACAACTATTTAACTGAAATTTAGTGAGATTTTGCCATTTCATTTGGCAAACATTTGTTAAATTTTCAATGAACGTTCGTCGATTTATTTGATGGATCAAATCGCAGCAAAAACGAATGCCAGAAATTCACACACCTTTTGCAGATATTTTTCAGACACTAAAAAACGTCTGGATAAAGTCAAATCGTGTCTGAATTTCCGACGAATCGGTGCCCAAACATCTTAATTCATCATTTAGATGATTTAATTGACGATTTAATGATCATTCAAACCACCATTTAATGATTTAATTCATTGTTTGAAATTCAAACAAATTTTCATTTTATTCAGACGTTTTTTAGTGTCTGAAAAATGTCTACAAAAGGTGGGTGAAATTCAGACATTAGTTTTTGTTGTGATTTAAGAAGGAATTGTAGATTATTTCGAAAATATCATCCACGGGAGACAATTGATTGAATTTTTTTTTTT